TCGACGGCAGCCAAAAGCCAGTCCTCCCTTCCGCTTTTTTCCCCCCCCCCCCCCCCATCGGGGTCTTCTGAAGCATCCCCGCCTGTTTGCTCGTTTGTGTTTGCTTTCTTTCGCCCCCCACCGGGGCACATCCTCCGGCCTGCCTCACCAATGCCTCGTACACAGCGATCAAATTAAGCGCAAGATGTCCAAGGAGTCCTTCATCAAGAACAATCGCGGAATCAACAAGGGCTTCGACTTGCCTTCCAGTCTGTTGGAGTCCATCTATGATGAAATTCTGCACAATGAAATTGTCCTGGAGGAGGAGCGGGGCGACCGTGGCGGGCACTCGACACTGAGTGCACAGCTGTGGCGCATGCTGCACCACGCCACCAGTGGCGGCGACAATGGCGCCGATGGCGATGGATTTGAATCGCATGATGGGATTTACCACCGGGCCACGCATCGCGAGCACATTTTGCCGATGTTCAAGGCCTTCTGGCGGTCGAACTTCCTGCTGCCTTTCGGCCAGGCAGTGGCCGAGTGTGATCCGAATGACGTGAATACCGCCGAGCTGTGCATGGTGGGCTACGAGTGCGTGTGATTTTCCGCCCGATCATCCCCCCCCCGTGCCGCTGCTCTGCCCCTTGAAACGTCATCTTTGCCGGTGCATTTGACGCCACTGACGCGTGTTTCTCGGGCCGCTGCACGCAGGAGCGCCGTGCGCATTGCCTGCTCCTTCGGGCTGGTCGAAGCACGAGACTCGTTGCTTCGGTCGCTGGCGCTGCACATCCGCTCACTGAGTGCCACGAACCTGATCAACTCACTCGGTGTGTCTGGCGGCGTGTTGGCCAGCCCGGCGGCCGCCCTGCCGGCCAATCCCGCATCCGGCACCGCGCTCGGCGGCGGGTCTTCCGGGCGGGACTCGCGTAGCTCCTTCGGCAGTGGGTCCATGCTTTTGCCCACGTCGGACTTGGTGGTGGTCCAGTGCCTGCTTGAGCGCATTGCCCCCCAGAACAGCCAATCTCTCGGCAACTCCTGGAAGTTCATCCTCGAAGCCGTGTCGCGCTTGGTATGGCCGCCTGTCGCGTCTTTTTGCCCGGGCCTTTCCCTGCCCCCTTGAACTCCATACACACCCCCGGGGCCGGCCCGTCCTGTCTGGGCATGTGACTGACTCGGAGCTACGCCCACGCGCAGGAATACCTCGGGCTCTTTGGGACGGACAGTCGAACTTCGGCCGGTCGAGTGCCGGTCCAGCAGAATCCCAGTGCCGGGATCGAGGCCGGCGCCGAGGCCTCCGGGGCTGGTGGTCACCCCTCCTTCGACGCGGCCCAGTCGCTGACGGTGCTGGTAGATCGCCTCTTCGAGCGGTCGGGCCTGCTCCCGGGCAAGGCGATTGTGGACTTCTTCCGGGGGCTGTGTGCCGTGTCCATTGCCGAGGTGAATGGCGGCTGCTTCGACCTGAGCCAAACCCTGCCGGACTACTCGCAACTCTTCGCCGAGTCCAAGGCCGAGTCCCCGACGCACCAGCACACCACGGCGCCGGATAGCTCGGCCGTGGAGGGCCTGCCAGGCCGGTCGCCGCGCCTGTTCTCGCTGCAGAAGGTGGTCGAGCTGGCCCACTACAACCTCAACCGCATTCGCCTCGAGTGGACGCCCATCCTGCAGCAAGTCCTCCAGCCCTACTTCAACCATGTGGGCTGCCATCGGAATCCGGTGGTCGCCTCGTTTGCCATTGACTCCCTCCGACAGGTGCGTCGGCCCAGGATGGCGCGGTGCTCGATGCTCGACGCCCGGTGTTGCTTTGCCTGTCGGGCTGTTGCTATTGGCTTTCCGCTCATTTGCCTGTTTCCTTCCCTCTTGCTCCGATGGGCTTTTCGTCGGCGCTGCTCGGTCTTGTCTCGTGACTGCCTCCCATTCCCCTCCGCTCACCTCCAACTTCGCATCCCCTCCTCTCTCGGACCTTCCACAGCTGGCCATGAAGTTCCTCGAGCGCCAGGAGATGGGCCAGTTCCACACGCAAAGCGAATTCCTCCGGCCCTTCGAGTATATTGTCATCCATGCGCCCCTGCGTCCGCTCCTGTCGAATGGCTCACGCCGTGGATCGGCCTCCGGTGGATCGGCCACCCCCGGGGCCGGGGCCGGGGCCGGGGCCGGGGCCAATCTTCGGCCCGCCGGTGGGGATCTGCCCCTGGCCCAGGATCTCGTCCTGCGGGCGCTCAACCACATGGTCGAGGCCCGGGCCGGGCGCATCATGTCCGGCTGGAAGTCCATCTTCGTGGTGCTCATGCGTGTGGTCGAGGCTGCCCGGAGGCCGGAGCTCGGCATTGGCGCCAGCAATGCCGATGACTCCGGCCATGCGGAGGTCCAGCTGGAGCTGACCACTCGCACGCGCCGGGAGCTGGTGGCCGCGGGCTTCCAGCTGGCGCAGACCATTTTCCATGCTCTGGCCTCTGAGCGCTCGCTTTTCGGCGGGTCGGGCCCAGCGCCAGCCCCGATGGCGGGGGGGCCCCCCTCGACCGACAATGGCGACTCGTCGGTGAGCGGGGTCGATTCCCCGAGCCAGGGCTCACTGCATGGCAGGCCCACCAGCGCCAACCACTTCGCCGACTTCATCGATTGTCTGGCGGAGTTTGCCTTCCTGAGCGGGGTTTTCGGGGGGGACTTGCCGCCGGCTGTGGCGTCGGCTCCGGATCAGCCCGGCGGCGCGACCTCGGGCCCGATTGGCATCACGCCGGATCCCTTTGAGGCGGTGGCCCAAGGGGCGGTGCAGCTGATCCAGAACTGTGGAAACATGCAAATCACCGCACACCTGGACTGGCTGTCGGCCACGGCGGCGGCCACGGCGGCGGCGGCAGGTGTCACCCCGACGGCGGTCGGTGGTGCTCACTCGCCGGCGGCCAGCAGCACTGGCAGCAGTGGCAGCCTGCTGCTGGTGAATGCCCCCCCGGGCCCCGGGTCGAGCGGCGGCCCGGAAGATTGCGAAGATTTCTTTGTCCGGTGGTTCGCCGTGGTCCGGTGCCTGTCACGGGTGGCCAACGATTGCGGGTCGATGACCATCCGGCAGAAGGCCATCGAGTCTCTCTTCAACCTGCTGCATGGCGCGGCCGGGACCGGGGTTCTGGAGTCGGCGGCCTATGCGCGGACCGTCTTCCGGTCGGCCATCCAGCCGCTCTTTGACGATCTTTGCGAGCAAAGCGCCCTGGCCCCCGGGGGCGGGGTGGATCCGCTGGCGCCTGGTGGCGTGGCCGGCCCCGACTCCGACTCGGCCATCGGGGCCTGGCATGCACGGCATCAGGACAAGTGTCGCATGCTGTGGGTGTTTGCCCTGCAGCATCTGGTGGATTTGGTGCCGGTTTACTATGGATCCTTTGCGCATGAGCCCTTCCCCACGATCCCCCTCAGCAGGCCCACCTACCATTCGGATGGCGAGGAGGATGACGATGAGGAGCAGGAGGAGCTGTCGGCCACCGAGGTGCCGCCGCTGCCGGCGGCGCTCTTGCCCTCCGAGCATCCGCACATGCTGGTGGACGAGTCGTCGGGCATTCCGCTGGTTGCCAAGCTGCCCTCCAACAGCATCCTCGGCGCGGTGCTCGAGCTGATCCTGCAGTTCATTGCCCATCGAAGCACCTCGGTGGCCAAGGCCGGCGGCGTGACTGGGCTCTTCTCGCTGATGTCCCTGTGCCATGATCAGTTTGATGCCCGGGCATGGCGTTTGGTGACCTTGACCCTGGCGCGGGCCTTTGCCGCCACGTCCACCGAGCGTGAGCTCTCCCGGGCACCGACCGTCCGGTCGAATGCCCCCGGTGCCCTGGACATTCTGTATTGCTTTGTCAAGGCCACGGTGCAGCTGTACCTGGCCCGCAGCCTCCTGGACATTTCCAATCCCAGCAGTGCTCTGAGTGCGGTCACCTGCACGGCCCCCCGGGCGGACTTCTTCGGTTGGCTGCAGCTTCTGCGGTCATCCCATGAGAATGCTCGTGCTTTCAATGTGGACTCGCCACGGCGTCTGGCCTTTGTCCAGGCCGGCTACATGGCCAAGACCCCGAGCTTGAGCCAGCAGGAGTCCGTGGCACTGGAGGCCTATGTGCAGCTGTACTTCCGGTGGCTGCAGCTCCGTGGCACCGGCATCGATGGGGACCAGGGCGCCGGGGCGGTGCACGCTGCCCCCGGCGGGGAGGCCATCCTCTCGCCCACCCTCGGTGCCAACCCGGTTGACCTTGTCCCGCCACTGATGGATCTCTGTATTTCGCAATTGGTGCGTGTGATGCGCTCTCTCTCTCTCTCTCTCTCTCTCTCTCTCTCTCTCCCCCTTCATCCACCTCCTCCTTTGCGCTTTGCTTCCCTTTGCTTGCGGTGTGACATGCGAGCATCCACCCGAGCCTGGCCTTCTCCATTCTCTTACCATGTCCGACCTCCATCTCCCCCCGCCCTCTTCTCTTCCTTCTTGCTCCATCACCCACTCTACTTCGTGTTCGGCATGTGCTCTCTCAGCAATACTTCTCTGCTATTCTTCAACTTCCGTCCGGAGCCCCGAGCGGGGCCCCCGGGGCCACGACCGGCGGCCCGACTGTTGCCTCCCCGCGCGATGTGGAAATTCTGCAGCGTGCCCCGCTCGTGGCTGCCATCATCCAAGAATTGATTCAGCTTCACTGGGGCCAAATCCCCCTGCGGTCCGGGGCCACGCCGATGTCCGCGACCCTTACGACTCCCATCGAGCCGGGCAGCATCGCGGTCTACATTCCCCGACTGGCACGGCTGCTGACCATCCTCCAGGGGTGTGATGTGCTGGCCGTCCGCCGAGCGGTGCAGAACTTCTTCCGCGCCCTGTGCGACGCCCTCTTTGGCCTGGGTGTCGGTGACATGGGCAGCCTCGATGACGAATCGCCGGTGCTCGGCCCGGCACCGGCTGCCACCGGGGGCCTGTACCACCCCCACGGTGGGCATGGCGGCGGCCACCACCCGCCGGCCGCCGAACATCACCTTCACCATCCTGGTCCCTCCGGAAGTTTGACCATCGTCCGGCCGAGCATCCCGTCGAGCGTGTCCCCGCCGGTGGCGGGTGGCAGCCGCACCGGCTGACCCATGTGACTGTTTTTGTCTCTCTCTCTCTCTCTCTCTCTTTCCCCCTCTCCCTCTTGCCTTCGCCGGCCTTTCAGCACGACGAGAGGGCGGGAGCGAGAAAAAAACAACAACACCCACGCGAGTCGCCACGAGGTCCGGCGGTCAAGGCTGCACGCATGGAGACACGAGTGAGACGAAAGGGGAAAAAATCCGACGAAAACCCTCGCCCACCTCCGAAAGAGAGAGGCAGGTAGAAATATGACCAATAAACAGATGCCAGTACAGAGCACCAAATGCCACGGGTCGAAGCCCGGAAACAGCTGGGCGGCACCACAGGCATGGGCATGGGCAGGGAATGCGGACGAGACGATTGTGGTCTGTACGTTGGTATTGGCCGGAGGCGTAGCGCCACTTCCTTGATGCCATCCGGGCAGCGATGCGTCTTCATCCCAGGGGCTGGGGCTGGGGGGGGGGGGAGGGGGGCCGTGTTCCTGTGACTATTTGGCCGGACATGGCCAGGTGCATGGCCAGATCGCGCGCGCCATGCACACTCCTCTTCCTCCTCCTCCTCCAACTCTTCCTTTCGCTGTCCCAGCCGTTCCCGCTCGTCCGTCGCCGCTCCTCTCTTCTCCCTCCCGGCTCCTTGCATTTTCTTTCGACTGGACACTGGGAACGGCCTTCTCCCGCCCGAGGCGCGCCGCCTTCCTTTTTCTCAAATCTGTCCTCCCCTTCGTGAGGCTCTCCGAATGGTGCGCCTCCGGAGCATGTCGTCCTCCCGCCCTCTCTCTCTTGGTGAGTTTCTTTGCCCCCCCCCCCCCCCCCCGGCCCCGATCCCCCTTCTTGGATGCACCTTTTTCCAACTTACCCTCCATCCAGTCCTTTGACTACTCGGACTTTGATATCGATGAACTTCTTGAGGGGGACTTGAGCTCGCTGAACGCGCTGCCGGAGGTCGATGCTCCGGCGGCCCGCCTGGCCCTCGGGCAGTCGCAGCTGGGGACGCCGCTCGGCTCGGCTCTCATGACGTCCCAAGCGCAACCGCCGGCCACCACTCGACCGGCGGGCGGCTCGGCACTCGAGAGCTTCTTCGCTTCGGCCGGATCAAGCAGCGCCGGAAGTGCCTTGCCTCGGGCAATTGGTCAAAGCCAGGGTGCCACCTCATCCCAGGCGGCACGCGATCCGACGGCCGCCGGGTTACTCGATCTCTTTCGCCCGGCTGCCCCTCGGGGTGGCCTCGCCACCGGTGATCGCTGGATGGCTGGTCAATCGCATCCCGCGTCAGGCTCTGCCCCTGGTCCGTCCTCATGGACGGCAATGGAAGCCACCAGGCACTCGGCTGGGGACCTTTCCCCCGCTTCGGGGCTGGATCTCGCTCCGAACCCGGAGTCGGAACCCTCCCCGAGTCCAGACCCACCATTCTCCCGCAGTCCAGACCCAGAGCCCAGCCCAAGTCCGCCCATGGACTTTGCGCATCGCTCGTCGCACGATCTCCCCACAAGCGACGAGTCTCTCTCGGCACTTGCTCCCAGCCCGACACACTCCTCCAGGGTGGAGCCTCATCCCAGGGCGGAGCCGCCAGTTGAAGCCCAACCGCCGCGCAAGACTGCTCGTTTGGAGCCCGGGCCCGGGGTAGTGCCCTCTCCTCCCTTGCAGGCAGGTCCTCAATCGAATCCCCTCAGGGCCTCCTCTCCGTCAGTCACCTTTCAGGAGGGCCCAGTGACACCGGGACCGGGCAGTTCGGCAGCACCATCGGCAGCACCATCGGCAGCACCATCGGCAGCACCATCGGCAGCACCATCGGCACGCGTGAGCCCGCTGCTTGAGGCAGCGGCCGCGGCCGCGGCGACCGGTGGCCGTGTCACTCCCGGGCCTGTGGGCTCGTCTGCACGTCCTACTGGGTCCTTGGCCCCGACCCCAGGTTCGGGCCCGACCCGGTCGCGGGATTCCCCCCTCCGTGTCCCGGGGCCGGCGGGCCTGCTGAAGTCCCTGTCCAATGCGCAGATGATCCAGCTGATCAGCCTTCCGCACCTGGACCAGATGATGGTCTCGGTGCGTAATGGCTCGGAGCTGATGGTGACCATGCCACATTCGAGCACGCTGCGCTCTTCGCGCCTGACCCTTGGCCAACGGGCGGCCGGGTCGCCGAGCAACATCGGCGGTGACCCGACAGCCGCCGCCATGTTGGCCGGCGCGCGGTCTCCCTCGCCGGCCGGCCGGCCAGGCGTATCCCTCTTGGCCGACGGCGAGGAGGGCGAGGAAGAGGATCCGGATGCCCTGCTTCTGGCATCGCTCTCGGTAGACCCATCTTCAGTGCTCCCAGGGCTGGCACGCGGCCCATCCACCACGGCCACGGACTTCCCAGCTTGGCATGATCTTGTCGGGCGTCTGACCACCGAGCCGGGCCTATCCCGGCGGCTGGGGCTCCCATCGGTGGAGCAGCTGCTGGAGGATGGCAGCCCTGTGGCCGCCGGGCTGGCTCCGCTCCTTTCCTTGGCCACGCATCCGGACTACCTGATCGCGGTGCTGGAAACATTCAATCGATCCTCCCGCAGCGCGGGGCCCGGGTCCGTGGGGTCGGATGGCTCGGTGCTGGGCACGCGCCCCCCGGATATCGGCTCCCGGCGGGATCCACATCACTCACCGTCGGCCATTGCCACCCTGCTGGACCACCATGGCCAGCGCATCACGGCCATCATCGATCCGCAGTGCTTCGCCGAGGGGGCCCAGCAGGCCGACTTGCAGCCGGGCAGCGCGGTGCTCCTCCGGCGACCGGGGGTCCTGCGCATCGAACGCCCGAGCCTGCTGATGCCGGTCCCTGCTCGGGCCGGGGCCACGGAGTCTCCCCGGCAGATGGAGCTCCGCCGGGAGGCCGGGCTTTCTGGGATGTCGGCCGGCGCCGCGGCCATTGCTCCCCACGATCCCGGGGGGCTGCTGGATCCGGATGATCCGGGCACGCTGCGCCTGAGGAAGGCCGTTCGCGCGGCCTGCGTCTACTTGAATGTTCTCGCACGGAATGTCCTCCTGGTGGCTGATCCCCCGCCAGCACCTGCACCCGGGCCTTTTCCACAAGATGGGCCTCTGGGCACACTAACCCAGCCGCAGCCGACGCAGTTGCAACAGCAACAACAACACCCGCACCCGACACAGCCCCATCAGCAACCCCATCAGGCGCCCGGGACACCGCGGCGGCCCTCACGCCGTGTTGGCCCGGACTCGGCCGCCCCAGCCGACGATGATCCCTTCCGAGCGCCGCTCCCCCCGGCGACCGTGGCTCATGGCCACGCCCAGGCCAATCGGCCAGACTCCTCGGGCCCCCACCCGGCGGACTTCGGATCGTGGAACTCGCAGCTTCTCCCGACCAGCCGCCAGACGGCATCCGCGCGCGCGGCCCCCTCGCCCCTGCACCCAGACCCGGGCCCCGGCGGCCCGCCCCAGCCGGCCAGCGCCCCTCTCCCACGCTTCCCGCGGGGCGGCGGGGCGGCCCCTCCCCCAGGACGCTATTCCGACTCCGAGCGGCGCATTCTCCAATCCAAGGGTGCTGTCGGCTTCGGCACTGGCAGCAGCAGCTCTGGCGGCTTCGGCGGCAGACGCTGACGCCTGGGGGGGGGGGCACACGGGGCGAGGGCGACCGGCCTCGGCCTGATGCAATAGACCTATGAAGTGCCAATGGATAGCTGTTTTGTCCTGCGATCGGCGGGATGTCCTGGCCTTTGTGCTTTTGTGGCTCGGTCGCAGGGGGGGGGGGGGGGGGGGGCGGCGCGGCAGATCATACACTTTCCCGGTCGAACATGCTTGCTCCCCCGCTGGGTTGGATGTGGAGCCCTGGCAGGCCCGGGGGACCGTTGGTAGTCGCGAGGCTGCTCGCCCGTGCCCTCCCGAAAGGAAAGAGCCGATAGAATTCGTCGCCGGGGAGAACGCAAAAGTCGGCGGCCCGGGGATCCGGGGGGGGGGGGGGGGGGGCGGGGGGAAAATGGTTGAATGGTGGCCTGGCCCCTCTCGAGCACCGTGAACGGGCGGGGGCGGGGCCGGCCGAGTCTCTGGGACCTGCTGATGCAATCCACGTCGCTTGGGCTCACCCTTTCGGGCGTCCCAGCGACCAAGATCGGGCACAATTGCTGGGTCTGCCCTATGGCGCCCCTCTCCGGACGCACACACGCACACGCACACACGGCGTAGCTCCCCCCGCCCCGCCCATATTCCCGAAGGGGCAGGGCAAATCGCGGTATCAGCCCCCGGTCCTGGGGATACGGTGATGTGTCCTGCCGCTACCTTCTTGGCCGATCGGACCAGTGGGGGGGGGGGGGGGGGGGGGGGGGCGAAGAAACCCCTCGCAGGGAGATCGGTCGGTGGCACACGCCCCACCAGTTCTGAAAGCCCCGTCGGCAGGGGCCCTCATCGCAGTCCGTGTGCCGCCCCCCCCCCCCCCCCCACACACACACGGGCCGCGCTAGAGGAAAAACACGGGCTCCCCAGCGCGATCTGCTGTCCCTGAAAAGACGCTTGCCTTTGCCTCGACGCCGATGCCGCTGCTCACCCCTCCTCCCCCGCCCCCTCTCCTCATTCTTTTTGTATCCATCCTTTTTCCCTCCGCACACGGGCACACACACACACACATCCACCTCCTTGCTCCGAGTGATGGCTGTATCTCTGCTCCGATGAACGACCTCTTCAGCCTTGAGGACCCTTTCTCAAACCCAGCGCCCGGCCGGGAGCACCTCCCTGCGGCGCCGCAGGTGATGGCCCTGCCACCACACCCCCTCCCCCAGGCCCCACCGGTGGTGAGCAGCCCTCTCTTGTTTGTACGGCCCTCTCCCTCCCTCCCTCCCTCTCTCTCTCTCTCTCTCTCTCTCTCTCTCTCTCGCTCTCGCTCTCCCTCTCCCTCTCCCTCTCTCTCGCTTTCGCTCTCGCTCTCGCTCTCCCTCTCCCTCCCCCTCTCCCTTCCTCTTGTCCCGCGACCCCCCTCCTCCTGGAAGCAGTCGAAGAAATGCTCACCACCCATGCCCATTCCCTGCCTCTTTCCGTCCCTCCCATCCACCAGAAACCCTACGACCCAGCAAAGCTTGTCAACTTGCTGAGCAGCAAGTCTTCCCAATTGGGGGTCGTGGTCTTCGAGCTGGTGGATCGGCTGGATCAGCACTCCCGCCCGGTGATCCCCAACAGCAACTGCTCGAGGACCATTCTGCTGCAGCAATCCGGCGTTGTCAGCCATGTCCACTCGCTGACTGACCTGTTTAGCCACCGGGCAGATTCCTTTTCCCTGCCGGCCATCAGCCGACTGATGGCGCAATTTGCGGCCCTCGACCCAGCCTCCCTGGAGTCCAAGAAACTCATCTACCTCATTGCCACCGCCAGTGGGGAGCTCACGCCAGCCGCGGAGAAAATCATCACCCTTCTTCAAGGTCGACCGATTTTGTTGCTGACCGGTGGCTCTCGTGGCTTCATGCACTTGACGCAGGGCGGTCCCCCGCCCGTGGCCATGGCCTCGGCTGGCTCGAACCCCGGCGGGCTTGAGCCCCCGCCCACCTTTCGGACTTCCGTCCTGCAGAAGGGAGCCCCCGCCAGCCGGTCCGGGCCCGGCCATCCCCCGGAGGATATGACGCATACTCAGCACACGGCCAGTGCCCATCGGCAGCATCTGTCCCGGGGTGAGGACGCCCCTCGTGCCTTGGCTGCCGGTGGTGAGAAGCGCCTCCGCAGCACCATCCTGGCACCGGAACCTGTGCGCTTCTTCCACCAACCGGAATCCATGTCGCCCAGCAGGCCGGCCGGTCCCCGGGGCTCGGCCCTCTACCCTTCCTCCTCAGACTTCGCATCGCGCCCGGCGGCCGCCTCCGTCTCCGGGTCCTCCACCGGGGCCCCGGGTCCATACTACTCGAGCGCTCGGACCCAGGCCAATTTGAATCTCTTCCTCCAGCCGGTGGCCGATTCTCGGGAGTTGGTCCGCCGGCCGGCTGGGCCACCTCCCGGGGCTCAGCCCACGCCCTCGGTCTCGGCTCCGGCCCTGGCCCCGGCGCCCATCTCGACCGCGGCCCAGGCTTCGGCCTCCTCCTCGGCGACTGCTCCCCCCATCACTCCCGGCCGTCTGCGTCGGAGCAACTCCATGGATGCGGTCAAGCGCGCGGACCAGAAGAATTATGCGCCCACCCCGGTGTATGCGCCCTCTCGCGGCTCCTACAGCCAGGATATCGATCTGGCCCGGGGCATGGTTGGCTTGCGGAACATCGGCAACTCCTGCTACATGAACAGCGTCATCCAGTGCCTGTCCGCTTCGCTGAAGATCTCGCGTCCCTTCTTTGGTGCGTCCTTGAGCCTCCTACTCCGGTCACAGCGGCGTGCCTTGATCGGCGCCACCTTGCTGACCCGCCTTCCCCTGCTCCCCTTGCTTCCAATTCCTTCATCGATCTCTCTCTCTCTCTCTCCCTCTCTTGACCTCATGCATGCGCCCCCCTCTTGCGTGGCCTTGCTGGTAGATAAGCGCTCCTTCGAGCAATATCTCAACCCCAGCACCATCCTCGGGTCCAAGCGCAACATCGTTACCCGTGCATTTGCGGTCCTGATTTCCGAGCTCTGGACTGGCCGCAGCTCCGGGGCCGTTTGCCCGCAGAGCTTCAAGGATGTCTTCGATCGGCATTGCGACCTGTTCGAGGGGCACGATCAGCATGACGCCCAGGAGTTTTTGAGCTTCCTGCTTGATGTGCTGCATGAGGACATGAATCGGCCGGAGGACTTGCGGCTTCCGCGCCTGACCGCCAGTGGCACTTCGGCCCCGGATGGAACAGCCCCCAGTGCCACCCTGACCCAATCTTGGGTAAACCACCTTCGTCGGAACTACTCGCCGATCGTGTCCAACTTTCACGGCCTGCAACAGTCGCAACTGTCGTGCCATTCATGCGGCATGGTATGTTCCCCTGGGTCCCCCTCTGTGCCGCCCCTCCTGCTGTCGCAATTCCCCTCCATGCTCTGCCCCAAATGGCCCCGACACTGACCAACGCCACACTCCCTCGCCTGCATGTGTCTTTTTTTTTATTTCCATCCCCATTCCAGACCTCCACCACATACACCCCCTTCCAGTCGCTGTCGTTGCCGATCCCCCCTCCGCGGAGTTCCCGGGAGCCTGTCTCCCTGGACGATTGCCTGAATGAGTTTCTTCGGCCGGAGGTTCTTTCGGACACCGAACTTTGGTGCGTTGCCTGGTCAAAGAAAAAAAAAACAACCAATGCTTGGGTTTTTTTCCTCCCTACTACTCCTGGCACTTTCTAACCCCATGCCCCGGCTGTCATACCTGCCAGGAACTGCCCAAATTGCAAGCGCCCTCGGCGTGCATCCAAGAAGCTGGACCTTGTTCATCAGTTCTCCGCTCCGGGGACACAACCCTCCATCGAGCAGCCACAGCTGCCCAAGTATCTGTGCATCCAGTTGAATCGCTTTTCCTCGGGAAACTCGATCTGGCGCCAGAAGCTGTCGCAGCTGGTTGCCTTTGCTGTCAAGTTCGTGCACACACCGGGTGCTGCCACTGTCCTTCCCCCTTGCTTGCCTTTCGCCACCTGGGGCTCCTCATACGCCCTGTTCTTGTATTTGCTGACCCTGCTGACCCACCGCCTCTTCTCCTTCTCTCTGGGGCTCCTTCGCACTTGGCCACTTGACTTCTGTGCATATCTGCGCCGGTGCCCCCAGTGGCTGGGACATTTCCAAGTATCTTCCCCCCTCGGCGAACCAGCACCCCCTGGTTTATGACCTCTATGCCACGATCGTACGCTGCGACCCGCTTTTCCTCACCTTCTGGCATGGGCTTTTCCGTTTCTCCTCCCCTAGGAACAGCCCTCTCTCTCTCTCTCTCCCTGGGACCATTATGACTCATGCCACCATTTTGCCCCCCTGGCTCGCTGCCTCCAGAACCACTACGGCACCTCCAGCTCCGGCCATTGTATGTTTGGGGGGCTTGTCTCTCCTCCTGCCTGTTCCCTTTTCCGCCCTCGCCCCCCTCCCCCCTCTGCCCTCGCATGTGCCTCCCCCTGACATGCTGTCTCTCGCAGACATTGCCCATACACGCCATCCCTTCACCGGACAATGGCGCAAGTTTGATGACTCCCGGACCGGCTGGGTCTCCGAAAGCGAACTCGTGGTATGTCTCCCGTGGCGGAGGGAATTCACCTGGAAGAGGAGCAGCTCACGCGGGAGCCAACTATCCGCCCCATCTGGCAATTTACTAACACATGCTGGCCACTTCAGGATCCGAGCGCCTACATTCTTTTCTTCCAGCGTCGTGACGAAGAGTCATGATGCCTTGGGGAGGGGAAGAGCCCTCCTTCCCAGGCTACATGATCCCCTCTTCAGCGAAGAGCCGGCTGGCTGGCGAGAGGAATGAAATAAAAAAAAACCCACATCAATCCCCAGGCAGACAAGTTCGAAAAAGGAGGAGAAGTGAGGGACGGCGTGTGCCTGCAGAAGATTCTATAATGTCATATTTGAACAGGCACGCCCGAGGTGCAAAAGGATCAGGCACACTGGGAGGAAACAGAGAGAGAGAGAGAGAGAAGATAAGAAGGACACGCACCCTCCCTCCTGGCAAGGGGGGGAGGTCAACAGCCGGGAGGGAGGGTGCTTGTGGGATGGCGACAGGAAGAGGAGGAAGAGGAGGAGCAGCCAACAATGGGCCTCATCACTTGCGGGAGCTTTGCCGCGGCTCACGCAAAAGCGAAATCCGGAAGACACGATCCTCGTCAAGACGATGCGCGCGCTCCAGCACCCGGATGAGGGCCTGCTGCAGGAAAGTCGAGGGAAGCATGTCCAGCTGGTCGGCATCCGGCACCTGGTCCCCGGAGGAGGCCAGAGACTGGCGCTTGTTAACCGCCGCCTGCAGGGCCGCCGGCGTGGAAGACACATACTGGCAGGAGTTCTGGTACTGGCGAATCTCGCTGATGGTCCGCGCCACGAGACGGCGCTTTTCGAAGTTGATCAGCTCATGCTCGATGAACTCCTCGGCGGCCGGGGTCTCCGGCGCGGTTTCCTCACCGGCAGCCGAAGCCGCACCACGAGCCGGCGTGCTGGCACCCACGAGGGAGGGGGTCGGGGAGGCCAGCTCGCCGGCGGCCGAGGGCCGGGCAGCGGCGGCGGCGGCGGCGGCGGCCGACGCCTGGCGAACCTGCGACGGGGTCATCGGCCCGCTGGGGCTGCCATCCGACCCGGCAGGGGAGAAGGGCAAGGCAGGCATCGGCCGACCGGCACCGATGCCGGTGGAGGTAGTGGCCGAACGCGGGGGGGTCCGAGGAGGAACCATCGGGCTGGGAGAGGCCGGCGCGTCGAAGGCACCGGTACCCGGGCTGGCCAGCATGGCCGAGGGTCCCGGAGACCCGGGGCCACCGGCGCGAACCGGCGTGGACGGCGCCTCGGTGGAGAACCCCCGTTGCGAAGAGGACACGCTGCGGGACTTGCGGGTCACGGTATCGGGATTGCCATCGCACATGAAGGTCAAGTCCGTCAGGTAGAGGCCCAGGTAGGGGATGCACGGGGGGTTGCACGTGCGCAGAGCATTCCGATAGTTGCGGAAGGAGTTGGTGTAGGTCATGAGATCGCGGATCTCGGCCACGGCCTTGGTGCGCTTGGCCGACAGGAGCTGTGGGGCCCGAAGGCGAGAGAGGGGGGGGGGCCGGGGAGAGGAGGGGATAAGCCGTCAGACCGTGGTCACATTTTACACATGGGGAGGAGAGATCCGGGCAAGGGCAAAAAAGCCAGGCAAAGACAGTGGGGAGGGGGGGGGGGGGGGGGGCGGGATGGCGGAAAAGGGCCAGGCACAGATCGTGCAGGTGAAGAGAAGGCGGTCTGAGGGGGAGAAGCACGCACCGACCATGCCTTGAGGCGATACACCGGAGCGCTCTCCATGGCGCCGAGAATGCACATGACACCATTGAAGTTGTTGAGCCGCCGGTACGCCTGAGCCACCTTGATGAAGAACTTAATCATGGCCGCGCGCCCGGCCGAGTCGGTCGGGGCCAGAATACAGAGAGAGGCCCACTCGGAGACGCGGTTAAAATGGGCAATCATGGCATCCAGGTGGAGAGAGTCACCAGCGGTCGGGGCCGCGCGCTTCCACACCCGGCCAAGGAGCTCATGCGGGGCGATGCGCCGGAAGAGCTCGGCCTCCAGCAGGGTCAGCTGCACGGCCACCTGGGCCGGGGTCACATCACGACGCTCTTCCGATCTTGAGCTCATGCGGGGCGATGCGCCGGAAGAGCTCGGCCTCCAGCAGGGTCAGCTGCACGGCCACCTGGGCCGGGGTCACATTCAGCGGAGCACCGAAGAGACGCTCATTCATGGTCATCACCGGGTTCAGGGCCCACAGATCCAATTCGGCCTCGGTGGCCCCGGCCGGCGGCTGGCGCGTCTCATCGTCCCATTCATCGCGATCGTGGAAGGGCATCTCCTGCTGCAGCAGCAACGGCACGGTGCAACGCTCGTAGGCCTGGCGCTGCTGATCGATGCGCTTCAGAAGATTCACCGCCAGTCGGGTGTACCGGCCATCCAGGGCGATGACCTTCTCCCGGAGGAAGACCGTCAGGCGCTCCTGCAAACGCGTGCCGGCATCCTCGCCGGCCACAAAGTCACTCCAGTACCCGCGCACCCAGGCGCGCATCAGGTTCAGCACGCGCACCTGGATGGCGATGGCACGCGGCGGCAGGGCAGGCGCCTGGCTACCAGCCGCCGGGACACCGAGCGAGCTGAACACCAAGTCCGCCGTGCTGTCAAAGGCCTGGACGCCATCGCCACCGATGACGCGCAGATCCTCCTCGGCCAGCTCCGACGCCAGGAAGACATCCAGCTGGGACAGGTCAATGTCGAGGCCAATCTCATCGAGGTTCAACTCCTCATTGGAATCCTCGGCCGCATAGCCGTCCTTGGGGTTGAAAGCCGGATCGGCCTCCGGCACATGGTACCGCCAGATGAGGGCCTCCATCAGCTCGGCCGGGGTGACAATCGACCGGTAGGTCAGGAGGAAGGCCTCGACCAGCTCCGGGTCCGGATAGTTCGGGTAGGTGACTCGCTCGACCAGCTTGTAGAAGGAGGCCGCCTTGACAATCGGCACATCGAAGGTGATGCCACGCTGGATCCACTGCTCCAGGCGATTGGGCCGGGCAATCAGCACGAGGTTGCTGTTCGGGTCATCACGCGCCATGAAGGGATACGACTTGGCCAGGGCCTCGGAAAAGGCCTCATCCGGGTCGGCGGCCTGCTCGAAATCGTGGCGGCTCGGCCGAGGGAGGGTGGCGAATTCGGGGAAAGGCTCCAGGTACATGCGGCGCATTTGCGGGGGGAGGATGCGCGACATGACCTTGGACCGACGCGCGGCCTTCAGCATCGGACCGAGGGCCGTGCTCAGGCGGGTGCGCAGCAGCGATGTCAATGAGTGGGAGGGGGTTTGGCGCCGAGGGCGCCGGGGAATGGAACTGCCCTCCGACGCATCGTGGAAGTGGTCATCCGTGGACGAGACGGCCGTCGTGGCAGAGGCCGGGGGGATGAAGGTGTCCACGACAAAGCTCGGCAAGAACATCGAGAGAGTCCGGGTCACCATGGACACAGCCTCGAAGGCTGTGTCGTAGAGAGTGCGCGGGCGCTCGGCGCCCGGCGAAGGGGTAGACATGATGGCGGCGGTGAAAGCGCAGAAGCCGAGCACCGAAAGCCAGAGAAATGCAAGTGGAGGGAGGAAACCAAGTGACCGAGCGGGGGGG